CTTTAAGTGTATATCTTTGTCTAAATTGTACTAATTATATTCAAGTTGTTCCATTTTAGTATTTAAAAGTATACTTAATACACTTAAAATTGTGCTTTTGTACAACTTAAATACAACTAAAGTATATTTAGTATTAAATTAGTTGTTCCAAAATTGCACTCTTTAAGTATACTGATGATTAGTGCGGCTTCAAGTGTACTTAGTTTTAGTATACTTAGTATAATATTTTTTCACCTGGGGAGAACATTCTGTGAAAAACAAAACAAAACCATGAAACCTAAACTTTAGTTTAATAAAAAACTATTAAATATGCTAAAATACCAGAAACAACACAAATTTTCTGACACATGTAAACTTTAACGATGTTTCTGCTGTGAATTATGTTTGAGAAACAGGTTTTCTTACTCCAATCTGCCATTCTTGTCCATGAGTACATGTTTCCCTTGTTTATTTACAGATTTCTTCCATCTTACTGAGTATCTCTACCAAAAAGTCGTAGCGCACCAGTTCAAACCAGCCGCACCTTAACCTGCATTATATTTTCAAAGCTACAGGGTGTGAAAATGGACAAAAATTGTGACTAGAATATAATGTTTACTCCAATACGTTTGAACTGGCAACTTTAATAACAGACATCATGATGACAACCAGCCATTCTAACAGAAGCACAAACAAAAAGGAAATTACTAGTCAGTGTCAGAGGAAGGGTCTTATAAATAAATGTCTATATTCAGGCAAAAGTTATTGTCTTACATAATGAGACAATATAAGGTTTGGAAAATTTGTCCTTTAGTAAAGCAAAGGGTTAATGTTTAAAAGCCACACCGACTGCCTTTCTTAAATCTTACATAATGCCCATCCTGCATGCTTATATGTTAGGAAAYGGTCTTAAAAGAAAATGCTCAGTCTTTTTATCATTTATATGATTTAARATGGAACCATTTTTCAGAGGTACAAACGCTTAACAATCATGTTGGATGTCAGACCACATGTTTGTAGCCTGGACACAAAGGTCGTACATGTGCCCACCTTGTTCCCTCACACACACACACACACACACACACACACACACACACACACACACACACACACACA